AGCTAATCCTGGACTTCCCAAACTAATTTATTATGTCAAGGAGACACAGAAGAGCAATTATGCCATGAGTTGTCTTGCTTTCCTATGGATATTCATTAAGAAGTAGAACAAGCTAGGAAAAACAGCAAAGTTAAGACACAGCTTTAGTCTTTGTTACACTGTGAAGAGTGAAAAGGGAATATATATATATATAATTAATAGATTAATATAAACTTATTAATTTATGTTTTATTATTCCATTATGAATTTTTATGTTAATTCATAAATTGAATAGCGGTAGCCTTAACTCCTGATATCAAACTCAACAATTGATTTTAATAAAAGTATAATAATCAAAATATTTTCTTAAAGTAATAATTCACATAGAATATTTTACAATGCTCAATTGAAATTACTAAAATTTTATTCGGTTGATATTTGTTATTGCATTTTGTTTTTAGTCATTTTTTAATAAAAAAAAATAATACACAATAAAAAAATCAATTAAATAGAATCTAAATTTAAGGACTATGATACGTTTTATTTATACAAACAAAATTATGGATACAATAGGATTTGACTACAATTTTTTAGTTTTAGTCCTTAGTTAATTTTTGGGTCCGATTATTATTACTATAAAATCTATTAGAATGCGCGTCCGAACGTGAGTTGCACTAGTATTATCAAACCGGTGTAAGCAAATTATATATGGCAACAGCTAACCATAATCACAGCGATACAGCTATTATCACTCGTTATTTTCTCCTTTTCTTCATTGCTGTCTGCTTGCTCCCTATACATACAAAAAGAAGAAGAGAGAATTGAAGGCAAATAAGAGCAACACAGAGAAGAAAAGCGGAGTGGTGGCAATATGGCAGAAGGAGGGACAACCTTAGAATACACACCAACATGGGTGGTGGCTGTTGTCTGCTCTGTAATTGTCTTCATTTCTCTTGCTGTTGAAAGAATCCTCCACTTCATTGGCAAGGCAAGTTTCAATTCTTTGATATTTATGATATATCTACCCTTTCATTACATGTATTTATGAGTTTCAATCAATTGTTTCTGCATTGTGTTTTCTCCTTTGATTAAGCGTTTCAAATGACCTCTTTGCTTTTTCAGTATCTGAAGAAAAAGAATCAGAAACCTCTCTTTGAGGCCTTGCAGAAGATCAAAGCAGGTATAGACTCTATACTCATGTCAGATTTTCTCGTGTGTTAATCTCCAAAGACATGGATATGGATAAATATTTTTTACGGGGTGGATGCAGAGTTGATGTTGCTGGGATTCATATCACTGCTACTGACAGTGTTTCAAGGCAGGATTGCCAAAATCTGTATACCAAAAGATATGGCTAATCAATGGTTGCCTTGTCAGGAAAAAAAAGATCAGACTGTAACACACATTCAGACCCTTTTCTCCTCCTTTCTTCCTCATGGCACTGGCCGTCATCTTCTTGCTGAGGCCTCTGGTACTGCTTCCTACTGTACTGCTAAGGTAATTTTTAATGTTTCTCACTCAATGATCAGTTTTCATTATTGATACAAAGAATTAAAAAACTTGAGAGCATGTCTTATAGACTATATTCACTGGCCTAGGCAAATCAGGACAATCCGGTGACCATCTTTCACAACATTTATTCTATATTCTCATATTAGGATTGGAAGACTGACAGTTTTCTTCAATTATGATATGTTTGATTTCAATCTAGGGAAAAGTCCCATTGTTATCCACTACGGCATTGCATCATCTTCATATCTTCATCTTCGTGCTAGCTGTTGTACATGTGACTTTCTGTGCTCTAACCATTCTTTTTGGAAGCACAAAGGTAAGTTTCACATTCTGTCACTCTGACTTATCTGGTTCTACTGCCATGTAGAATTTTACTTCTTTCAATTTCATTGTCATGCTTTTCTGTCTGATGTTTAGTACATGTCTTTTACAATCCAGATCCATCAATGGAAAAGTTGGGAGGATTATGCTAAGAATATGGAATATGATCCAGAGGGAGGTTCGGGTAGCTAACACCTAATTTTTACATATTTAAATGAATAATTTGGATATACTCTATTGTGCTAAATCATTAACCTCTAAACTATAAATTTTCAATCCTGACCAACGGTAGAGCACTGACTTGCTTCAAACCTTTGATGTTCTCTTGTGGTCAACGTCCTACCAACTATAATGCATTTTCTGATGCAAGTGTTACTTTGCAGTTGTGAGAACAAAGATCACCCAAGTCCAAGAACATGATTTTATCAGGAATCGCTTCCTGGGTTTTGGAAAGAATTCAGAATTACTGGGATGGGTGGTAAGTCGAGATGTTCTTGTTACAATCATCTAATAACTGGTTATTAAGCTCCATTAAGTTCATGTTTATTTCCAACTGGAAAAGGTGAAGTCCTAAACAGTCAAACCTGGACAACTAGACCGTTAAAACAAGATTGCAGTATATACAGAAAGCAAAAAATTTCCAATTTAGAGTTACTAATTTCTTTCGATTAATATAAAAGAAATGTTTATCTCAATTGGAAATGCTGAAGATCGTACCTTCTGAAGTTATGATACTGATTTCTGCTCTTCTGTGAGGAAATTGGATAAATTCCTCACTCAATCAGCAGCTATTAACATCATCTTAAGTCCTCATTGTGTCATTACAAGAGAACTAATTCACATTTTTCTTCTCTCTCTCTCACGATAAATATATATATATATGCATGCTAATCCCGTAACATAGTTTTTATGGCTATGATTTGCTTTCCAGTATTCTTTTTTCAAGCAATTCTATGGATCTGTGACCAAATCAGATTATATCACATTAAGACTAGGCTTCATCATGGTAAGTTAATTGAATTTAATCTATTTCATTCCATTTTATTCATTTTTCTTGGTAAAAACTTGAATGCTCCCTATAATTTACTTCATCAACTCTATTTCATTAACTTTCAGAAAAATTCTTCTCTAGACTCATTGCAGGGGAAACCCAAAGTTCAATTTTCACAACTACATGATGCGTGCTCTTGAAGCCGATTTTAAGAAAGTTGTTGGGATAAGGTCAGTTATGAAAGATGCTAACCAGAATTTCATAGTTCCTTAATCAAAATTTGTTAAGACAGTTGTTCCTCCCACAATGAATTATGCAGTTGGGCTATATGCGAAGTTGTAGGTTCATGCATTTATGTCATTGCTACCTTTGGTGAAAAATAATGCTTTGGCATGTTTCTGTTGGTCAAGAAACATTTCTTTACATAGTAAATTTTCTTAATGCTGTCAGTTTCTAGCTTAATTCCTTTCATGGATCATAACTAATTTCTGACTTAATTGCAGTTGGTATCTTTGGGCATTTGTTGTCATTTTCCTGTTGCTGAATTTTGTTGGTGAGTAACTGAAGTTTTACTTGATGTTTACATGAGAGCAGAGTATCTGTTTGCTGCTTGTTCCTATTTCATATCTTCCATAATTTTTCTATTTCGTTAGAACATAATGGATTCTGAGGCAGAGTCATCTGCTACAATTTTTGCACTCCAACTCTTTAATTGTGCTCCTGTAGAAAATTCAGAAAAATTGTAATCCAGAAGTTAAAACTACTGTACTAAGAACTTCAAATACAGGGTTTTGAGGTCTTAGATATATGCACTTGCCACTCCGTAAGATATGAACTCTGTATGGATGGAGTAATTCCTTCCTACAGTGAACCAGCTAGATGAAGATTCTTAACTTCGACTCACAAATAAAAAATTGATTCCTTCACGCAGGTTGGCATACATATTTTTGGATAGCTTTCATTCCCTTCATTGTAAGTGATCCTAATAAACACTACAATTATGCTGTCTTATTCTTTCTTTAAGTAATTTTGTTCTCCCTTCCTTTTCCCTCTTTGTGTATATGTTTAAGCAGTTGAACTACTTACATGTTTATATCAGATAGGCAGCCTACAGAAAACCTGGTAGCATTTGACAGTTGTTTTCCTCTTGGCAGCTTTTACTTGCTGTTGGCACCAAGTTGGAGCATATAATCACGCAATTGGCCCAAGAGGTAGCCGAGAGACATGTAGCGGTCGAAGGGGAATTGGTAGTTCAGCCGTCAGATAACCATTTCTGGTTCAACAGGCCACGCCTCATTCTCCGCCTGATTCACATCATCCTATTCCAGAATTCTTTTGAATTGGCATTTTTCTTCTGGATATGGGTAAAACACCATTGTCACACCATTTGGGCGCCTGAATTCAATCCTGCCCTTGAATAAATAACGACTTCCGACTGATCATTTTGATTCTTCCATTTATAACAGTTGCAGTACGGTTTCCAGTCATGCATGATGGGGCAAGTTCGTTTTATTATCCCCAGGCTGGTTATAGGGTATGAAGAGGACGAAAAATCTTTCTTTCCTGTCTTTCCATATTCAAATACTCACGTAATCTTCATCTGGTCAGGGTGTTTGTTCAGTTCGTCTGCAGTTATAGTACCCTGCCGCTATATGCATTTGTCACACAGGTAAAGCGAACTACAAACAAAGTTGAATTCTTTTCTGGTTTTTGTTACATTTTCTGAACTAATCAAAACTTTTGCTTTCTTTTTGTTGTTTCGAAGATGGGAAGTTCGTATAAGAAGGCCATTTTCGAGGAACATATTCGCGAAGGGCTTGTTGGTTGGGCTCGGAAGGCGAAAAAGAATAATAAGGGCAACGCTGTCAAGAGGTCTGCCAATAGATCAGGCCAAGTTGGTCCGAAAGAGGAGTCTCCTCTCGTACTTGAGATGGTAGAGGCATATGGAAAGGAATCTGCAGTATGAGAGGATAGAGACAGAGATATTGAATCAAAAATCTGTAATATAGAGAGCGACATTAGCATCTATTGCAAGTGGCCTAGCCTTATAGTTTTTGTGTTGGGCTATATGTCAGGCTGTACTGTTCTGCAAGCGCTACTTTACAAACCAGCTGCTTCGCAGTTAATCTTGAGCTTTTCTGTCATCTGCTGAGGTGCAGCCCCTTGGATCATCTGCTAAGATGCAAGCCATTGAGGATAGAATCAAATGAAGAAAAGTTGTATTGTCTTCAAATTATCAGCATCATACTCAATAGTTCAATAATGCCCAACAGATTGCATTCCTTAATGCAGCGATTGTTTATATTCATCTAATTTCCTCTTTCCCAAAAGAGAACAACCCTTTTAGTCACGTGTCAAAAATTCAGAATTAAAATAGGTGGGAGCATGAGCAAATTGACAAAATCATCTGTCTTTTGATTTCACAGGAACTCCTTTGTACATTTGTACACGATCCTTTAACGCATCTCGCCTAGGGCGCGCTACCTTGTTATTGGGATCAAAAAGTAGCACTTCTTCAAATGCTTTGAGTGCAGACTTATAGTCTTTTTTCTTCTCATATGCATCACCAAGGTTGTTCCAGGCTGTGACATAGCCTGGTTGAAGCTTCACAGCAGTTTCAAATTGACTGATTCCTTTCTCGAGCTTCCCATCCCGGACATAGCTGACCCCAAGGGCATTGTAAACCTGTGCGTTGATGAGCAAAATATAATATGATAATTTAATGTTTATAAAGTCCCTAATCAAAAGATGACAAAAAAAAAAGAAAAAGAAAAAGTACTTTGTAATCTTATTTATGTATTCTCAGACAAGTAAAGGAATAGTTCATATGATGAAATTTTAGAAGTAGACAGGTAAACATCCTGTTAAATTCAGGTTTCTCCCACTTTTTTTCTGCAAATGGAGGTTATGTCATGATTCAAATCATCATAACAAAACCGGGTTTTAGTCAAGCCCACCAAATATATGATGGTTTAAACTTACAAAAGGTACGGGGCCTGGTGTTAGCAAGCAAGACATAGCAAATGCTGAGTCCATAGGATAAAAGTTTAAGTTGGCATTTGAGTTACAAGTGTGAGCTAGAGTTTTCTCCATTTATTCCTCTTAAAATAAAAAATTAGATTTAATAACATTTTTAACCGAAATTCCAGGCAGACTAAGATAAAACAGATAATGCTGCTATTATACAACAGTTAGAGTTCAGATTGTGATTGACACTGATAAGCACAAAGGGGAAATCCTGTATATGATCAGGGTGGCTAAGAAGGATGTGATATTTCTGGTTCTACAAGATAAGTTAAAACCACAAACCAGGCAAAGTGCACAGCTTATTGAATGATTTATCACTCAAAAAAGAAGGATACAGCGGTGATAGATGATGATTTCATGTTAACGGCTGAAAAAGTTTTCAACGCTAAATTATCCAAATGAATCATCACCCATCATACAATTTATGACTGCACCCTTAGCAAACTCAAATATGATGGTTAAAAGGCATAATGTTCATATTACAAATGGTTGACATTATTGACTTTAATTGCATGCAAGACATGCATACCACATTCTACTAAGTACAATCCACACAATGAAATCAATTGCTTCTGCTTGTAAGATGCAGGAAGATCCAAAAAATATCATACCTGGGCAAGATCTTGATCATCGCCATCCCATTTCTCAATTGCCTGAAGCAAATATTTAGTAGCAGCAGGGTAAAATTTCCTTCTCAACATAACGGCACCTAGCTCAAAAAGCTCAGTAGCACTTGCCTCTCCACTTCTTACTTGCTCCTGAAATCAAAATAATAACATTGAAGGATATAATATAAGCACAAAGGAGCAGTCATCATCCACTATAAAAGCTAAGAAAAAAGAGTCAAAAGTCTTTTCTGTTTTCCTTTTGGTTTTGTTACAATAACTTGGAAAAAGTCTTCTTTTTAAAGTTTGGAAATGTCAAACTAATACAAACATAACTGCCAGAGCAATTTAGACTCATTCAAATGTCATTCTTTTGCACAGAATAACAAGCTCTTACCTGTAACTCTTTAGCAGAAAGGTCAAGTTCTCTACGTACAAGGACTTGACGGATCACAAAGAAGGTTCCAACCCCAAGCAAACCTAGTAGTAAAAGCAGATAAGATAGTTGGATTCCTAACTCAAATAACGCTCCAATCTCATAAACTGCATCTCCACTGGTAATTTCACTTGCATTTGCTAGTTGTGCAGAAATCAACCACAAGGCTTGACCAAAGAGGAAAGCAGACACCACAACTAATGGCTTCTTCAGATTTGAGTCATCACCCATAGCCAGAATGTTTTTCAAGGATTCTGCAACAAAATGATGATACCAATTATTTAGATTCAAGTAATTGTAGTGACTAACTGAAAGAAGCAACTAAAGAGAGCATGACTACAAGCCTACAACTGCATGACTTAACACAACACTAGTGGTTTTTACTTATCCATAGAAGTAAACCTCCATCTAGAAATTTGAACATGTATGTGTGTGCGCATGCACGCGCATGCACCATCAGTGCATCTTGTATTATTAAGTCATTTAACTCACAGTGCAACCAAACTCCAGAAGAATGACATAATAAGCTTTCTGACCTTTTGGCATACATACTATAGAGTTTAGAAGGTATTAATTAATACAATATTAAGAGAAATTTAGATGATATAGAAAAATAACCAATTACAAGGTATTAATTAATACAATATTAAGAGAAATTTAGATGTTATAGAAAAATAACCAAACAGAATGGACATCAAAAACAATGTTTAAAGAGGAAAAAAGGTATCAAAACTACAACTTTTCACATGTGAGCTGCATCTTCCTCTGCATGCCATATAAGTTGCCAGTCCCTTTTGAAACATCTGCCTTTATCCACAATCAATTCAAATATGGAAAAAAGAAAAACTGTAAGAAAGCATGTTAAGTTAGAAAAGAATAGTATATCTACCTCCATTCACCAAAACAAAACTTGATTAAAAGTTTAAACATGTACTTTTAATATCAAACAAAAAGAGTAATTGAATATACTCAACAGTGAGATCATATAATAAGGCCAATATCAACAGAAATCCAGCATGAGACATATAAAAGCATTCCTAGGAAATGTCACAATAGGTATAGAAAAACACTGAAAATTAGGAATTTGCCAAACCATATAGAAGCTACATACCAATTTATGTCTTTACTCCAAAGCAAAAATTCATTCAAACTTATTTAAAAATGACAACTACATGCAACCATTTAGCGTTGTCTATATCAGGTGATAAATATGAGTATTAATAGCACAAACTCTAACATCATCAGATGAAGGCTGAAACTTTCACAACACACTTCTTTCTCAACTCAAAAACACCACGATAGCATAGATGATTTGGGAGTCAAAGTCTCTTTTCCTTTCACCTTATGCAAAAACAAAACAAAAGAAAAACGTAAGACACTTTCTTTCTCTAGAATTCTCTTGAACACGGTTACCATTCCCACTTCTCCATCACTATTGCATGTTGGCTGAAGCTATTTTCCATTAAAATGGATGGCTTCTTTGCTTGAAACAACATGAATTTTGAATCCCTTGTGTTAGAGCAATATTTTCTCTTCATTAGATCTAATATATCTTTACATTTATTGCAATATTTTTTTGTACATATTTAGTCAAACACTCTTGTATATATACTTTGTTTTCTAGTCAATACAAACAGAACGATTTAGCCCCTATTATATTTTCTTAACATGTTATCAGCCTAATAACCCTAGGGCCCGTTTTCCTTTTCTTCCTTTTTCCACCATTATAACCATCTGTTTCCCACCCTCATGGCAGGCTCCAAAGATTCCTCACCAATTAGTTTTTTCCACAGACCCCATCTTTACCACTCTTGTTGCGACCGAATCAAATTATGATTATTTCTCTCCATATTTTCTTTATCATTTCGATAGTCCTGGCTCTATTCTCATTTCCCAATCTTTGGTTGGAGAGAATTATCCAACCTGAAGCCATGCTCTTTGCACGGCTCTTGAAGCTGAAAACAAACTTGGATTTGAAGATGCAGTATCTGTGAACCTGATATTCTAAAGATTCACTCCAATGGAAGTGCTGTAATAGTACGGTCACCACTTGGTTACTTAACATGGTTTCCAAAGATATAGCTGCAAGTGTTATTTACATGTCTTCTGCAAATGAGATTTGGCTTGATCTTCATGATTGTTTTTCTCAAAGATCTTACCTCCAATCTTTGAGATTTGTTGTAATATTTCTCTTTATAATCAGAAAAATAATTCTGTTGTGGCCTATTACACTGTTCTTAAGGGTTTATGGAATGAGCTGGTCTCCTATTGCTCTCTTCCAACTTCTACTTGTGGCGCCCATAAGAAATTTATCAAATTACACGAGGCTGATCATTTGATGCAACTTTTGATGGGTTTGAATGACTCCTACACCTAAAGCATATTTTCTCTTTATTAGATTTTAGTGTATCTTTATGCTTATTACAATATATTTTCTGTACATATTTAGTGGAACGCTCTTATATGTCCTTTGTTTTTTTGTCAATACAAAACAGAACAATTTAACTCCAATTATATTTTCTTAACACTTTGCCCAAACTTTGATGTCAAGGCAGAGGAGATAAAGTTAGCTTGTGTTTTTCAAACTTCAAGTCCAAAATTAGATATTAAAAACAAATCTTATATTTTTTGAGTCTAACCTTGATTGACCTCTAAAGTATAGGGACCTAAAGCTAAGTCAATGAAGCTCAAGTAGAAACTTTTAAAGATGTTTAAAAAAATATGAATATCCATTTTGCAATTCACAAATGGATAATTGTATGTAAACTCATCATTACCAGCTACCAGCCTTACTCATCCCAGCACAGCTGTCCATCGGTTGTGAGCCCAATTGGTATATGGCTCTGAGTGATCAGAACATGTTCTTTGACATAGCTAACAGGTTTTACAATTAAGCTATCTAAGATTGAGGAAAAGAAAAAGAATAAGGTTAATTACCATCCAAAGGAACTAAGGTGCTTTACGGAGCAAGTTTTAATTTTCCAGAATTTTGGGTTTGCCATTGTCCAAAAGATAATATATGTGTGTGTGTTTGTGTTTTTTTGGGCATGTGCATCTGTACTTATACATAACATATATATTGCTAATTGGGCAATTTTCTAAGTAACTTAAGATCTAAAGGTGCCAACTCAGTTGGCACGTTAATTAATTAACTGATGTTTAATTGAAATTATAGAATCACTAGATAATAATTGGAAGTGTGTATCTCTTAAATAACTTTCGAACAAAGACAATTATGACCTATACATGGGGAAGGGAGTATAGTTTACCTTCTTTTATATTATTTTACTGTTATACTTCTCAGTTTCATCAAAATAAAAGTCTAAATATGTATCATATAGTAACATAAATTAAAGAACACACTTACACCTCCTGATTGGTCTGGAGAATTCAAGGAGCACACATTATTTTAATAGCTTTTCATTTCATATCAACCAAATAGTTTAAACATATACCTGTTAAGCCAGGGTTAAAAAGTGAAAGAATTCTAGCTCTATAAATATTAGCTCTGTAAAAACTTGTCTTAGGTCGTTATCGTTTAATCTAGAAGTAAAAATCATTAAACTCAAGGTGTCAAGGAAAGAAGATTACGGAATTATAATGATAAAACACTCGTAGCAGTTGCATAAATGCGGTACAGAAAAAGAGGAAGGGGACAACCAAGTAGATAACAGAGTTAAACATGTAGAACGAATAAACTAAAAACAAGCAGTATAATAAATTGGAATACTTTTCTGCAACTAATGCCCCAAATTTTCTTCATAAGACAAGGGTTTTTTGTTTTTTCTCTTAAAACTAGCACCACTGAAGCACAGAGTGTACCAGAACACATACCTGTAGGTTGAGAAATCTAGTGTCATTCACTCCATTGCCTGTCCCTGAGTTCTTCAAAGCTGGTTCACAATAGCACTGAACAATGGCCTGGACCAATAAGAGCAACACTATCCAATGTTCTTTATAAAGCTAAAAAAGAGAAAAAAATAAATCTTGTTTTTTGACCCACCAAATATTTATAAAAAAATATGAAATTATTCCTTTTACCATCTTTTATTTACCATTAGTCTTCTAGTTGTGTAAAAAATGTGAAATTATTTTAGAAAAAAATCACTATTAGACTTTAAGTTTTTCCATTTAGTCACACATTATGAATTCTAGAATAGCATATTTTATTAAAATTGAAAATTTTCTGGATTAAACCTTTGACACGAGGGTTTGGTGTTAACCAAACATTCAAAATTTGCAGGCAATGAATGTCCAATTTGAGGAGAGCAGAAAATAGTGATTGTTATAGATAGGTATAGTCAAATCCTTGTTTCAATACTAGCAATTGCATGATCCCAGAACAAGCCAATTTTAGTTGAAAAAAACTTACAAAAGGGAGACGAATTTATTGTCTTCCATTGTTGAAAACCCAGACAAAAAATCACTTGCCTTCTTTCTCCATTTAGTCTAACCATCATTTCAACATCTAATAAAGATTATCTTTGCATACATAAATTCATGGCTTGCCCAACATATTATTCTGTCTAATGTTTAGAAAAGCCTCTCTTGACGCCAGTTGTAGAACCTAAAAGATAAGCAGGCCAAAGTCCTCTCGTTGCAATATTAAATCCCATCAGTTTCTACTTCCTACTCTCTACTTTCGTAAGTGTTGCATGCCAAGAATTTTCGAAGAAGCTGACTAGATCCTCAGATAGAAACTTTACTATGGAGAATTATACTAATAATATACAGTATAAGAAAGAGTAAAGGGTAGCTTCTTTTACCTGAAAAGAGAGCTTCTTGCGGCTGAACCTGAGAGACCCAGATGAAAGGAAAGAGTAAGAATGAGGAAGGGTAGCTGAGAAGCAGACAGGGTGGTGGTGTAAAGGTGGGGATGAGATTGTAGTTTGCAGAAGCATATTCTTTGGTTCTTTTGGTCTTCAAAGTTCAAACATGAAAACCCTCTGTCTGCAGTGATGTTTTGTGGGTCTTTTTTCTTTATTTGGTTCAACTGTGCAGACGATATAGTTCCTCGCTTACTCTAACTCAGAAGCACAGTTCGGTGGTGGTTGAAGATAAAGTTCAACTGTCTCGGCCAAGCCATGAGATAAATATAATCAGCAGATAAGGCCGCGTTTGTTGCTCCTAGGAGCTCAGAACCAGCCCCATTTTTTTTTAATACATACTTTTTTTTAATTCTTTTTTTTTTACTACAAAGGATAGAGGATTTTTTTTTTAAAAAAAATAATTTATAAATGATTGAAAAATAAATTGCACCAATGTCGATTCAAATTTACTGTGGAAACTATCAGACTATGGATTCATTATGACACTTCAAAAACCCTTAAAATGGAAGATTGATTTATTTAATAAAATTGATGGTCTTATTCTATTTAAAAATCTTCCGCTTTATCTTCTAATTGTTCAATGACTTCAAATGATGTGTTCAGAAGAAAAAAAAAACTACTACTAGTCTTTACACTTATTTTTAAAATTTCTTATAACACAAATTAATTGGTAAGATTATTGTGTCGTGTAAATACTTAATAAACTTATAAAAATTAAATTAAAAGGTGATAAAAATGCTCTTATAGTATGTTGGACAACATTATCACATTAAACAGCATAAATTTTTTAAAGTAACTATTATTACATTCTAATATGTAAAAAGGTAAAATACCCCACCTTCTTAAATTTTAATCAAAATTTTAAGCAGATCCATTAGTTTTCAAAATGAATATTTTACTTCAAAAAAAAATTATATAATTTTAAAGATTACTATAATATAACTTTTATTAATTTAAAAAAAAAGAGAGCACTGCCTATTTTTTTTTAAAATTATATAATAATAATTTTTTAAATTAATAAAAAAAAGTATTTTAATCTTTTTATAATTTTTGTTAATGGTGTTTATACTTTCAGACAGAATATCTATTTCGAAAACTAATAAACCCGCTTAAAATTTTAATTAAAACTTAAAAGAGTAAGAGTATTTTTATTACAATATTTTGTACCTCTGGCTGCAACAAAAAATTGCAATCATAAGTAAAAAATATGCACACTTAGCTAATGTATGAAAAAGTTTGGCTGCACTTGTTTATAGGATTCAACTAGACTTGTAAAAATAAGCCTAGCCCATTAGATCGACCCATTTTTTATTGAATATGGGATGAGTTGGAAATGAAAATTTAGACTCATATTAGAATCGAGCCTAAATGAGCCAGCCCATCAGATCAGTAGGTTGGGATGGGCTAGGGCTAGCCAACCCTGTGAGTTAAAAAATTAATAATTTTTATTAATTTAACTATATAAAATTAATAATTTAGTTACCAATGATATTATATTTTTTATATATTTCAATGTCATTAATCTTTACTTATCAAATTAATAATTTTAATTTAGATTAAAACTTTTTATCTCTTTTTCTTTTATGGTAATAAATATTAGATGATAAATTGATAATGATTTAGACCTTGAGACATCATTGATGTCTAAATAAGATTTAAATATTTTGTTTGAGGATGATGATTGAGTAGGATATAAATGAGTCTTAAAGTTTCTATTATTTGGATATATACTTATGTTTATAGGATGGTAGTTAGTGTTAAAGATTTAAACTCTATTTATGTAATTTATTTATTTATATTTGGTGTAATTTATTTGTTTGTAACATGTTTTTATTATTTAATTTATAGATTAAATGATAAAACAATTTTATTGATAGAAAATTTGTTAGGTAGAATTATAAAAATATTTTTTTTTACAAAAAAAAAAGTGAGCTGGCCTAACTCGACCCATGAGCTAGTAAGGGGTGGGCTTGGCTGAAGTTTTGATGGCCCATGTTAAAAATGGGCTAGCACGACCTAACTCATACTTTCTCAGCTCACAAGGGCTTGGGCTGAGTTGGGCCGGGCCAGCCCATATTGACACCTCTAGATTCAACAGCAAAATTAAAGTGTAGCTATATATTATATGGCTGTAATTTTAAATCATATGTTAGCATATAAAATATGCAGCTAAAAAGTATAAAATAAAGACACATATAACCTTCTAATATATGATAGAAACACATGCTTACAAATCATAAAATGCCTCTAAAATCAAATTGCATCAACTAATGCCTCAAAAATCAAATGCCTTAAAAATCATTTTCAAAGGTCTTTATAATGTGTTCAGTATGGGGTTTCCTTAACTAATTTTGGTAATCTCTCTCTTCCTCTCTTTTTCTTTCTAATTCTTCTCTATACATATTTGTTTATCCACTCTCCAACCTAACAAAACCATCTGACATTGCAGTTCCTAACCTTCCTTACCTATAAAGATTAAGTTGAAAATAATATTCATTTGCAGGTACTTCATAATGTAATATGAGACAAAGCAAGATAATATTCAGTTAACTGCAAATAATAGGTATTATTAACAACATTTTGAACTAGATTTATGTACAAAACGTGTCTTTATGTTTTAACATCAATAATAAGGCCTCTTATGAATCAAATACAGCTTGAACGCATGCTATCTCAATGATTCTAAAGTAACTATACCAGATATCTTATAAATTCAGTCTTTCTAAATCCAGCCCCTAGTAAGAAACCTTTTAAGAGTAAACAGCCAAGCAAGAGCTTCTCAATTCAGAAAATTTCTTAGCATCTAAATTTGGACTCTTATCACTTTTTTCTTCATTGTCCTCAAAATAACCGACATAATCATCATAACCTTCTTGCCTCATAATGTCTTGCACTAATTGCTCTACGTCATCATGCATATTTGACTCATCTCTCATATCTACATCATCATCAACACTCACAGAAGGTGATGACCTTTCCCCATGATAAATCCAATGGATATAACCTTGATCGATTCTTTTACAAATATGATGATTATAAACTTCATCTCAATCTTTCCACAAACAATTGTTACAAGTCTTACAAAGGCACAAAATCAATCCTCCCTTTGACCCATTTGCAAATGAAAAATCAAGAAATTGCCTAACTCCATATATCTATTCTTTACTCAATCTAAAGCAACATAGCCAACTTTTATCTATCATCTTTATAGAATTATCCAAATTCACTAAAAAGAAAGACTATTGAAAAGTAAGTCTATATAATAATTCTACATAACATAGGTCAAAAATATATAATAGTACTACAAAAAATAACTAGCATTAAAATAGAACCAGAAAGCACAAGACAGAGTATTCAAATTGAAAACTATTCATATTCATCCCTTAAACAATAACTGGTTTGCATATTTATAGAAACAAACATGTATACTTTTGTCTACATACATACACATAAAATAATATAATATTTCAGACTTAAAGACCAAGATGAACCTTGATCCTAAATATAAAATAAGATTAACAGTATAAGAAAAAATAAAAACAAAATATGGATAAAAGATAATCATTGACTTTTTCCATCTTAATAATTTCAAAAACTGCCTTGATGTGTTTAAAACACATACCCAGACTGCTTGCCAGAACTAATGTATCAGTGGATGATTCTATAGACTTGAAGATTAACTAGCCTTGACCTTTTCAAACTCGGTATCAAGCAACTTCTTAAAATCAATTAACTGTAGTTAAAACATAAAAGCAACAAATGACATTAATTCAATAAGTGTTAGTGTACAAAATGATATTACTAAACCAAAATATATAAATATTACGCATAGAATAAATAAACTCAATTGCAACAGTAACAAAGGTGCCATCTAACATAGAAATAATATAGGGTTTTAACAATTCCATTAATTGTTAAAAAATGTAAAACAAAAAAATATAGATATCCTGAAATCAGATTAGCATATGTTTTACTTTCTCCACTCCTAGATGTGATGTTGAAGTAGTTTAAAAAAATTTAAAATTTCTTAATAGCTAAAATGTAAATACATTTAAAGGGATTCAATTCCAATCTTCTTTGTTTTGTTTGAAACAGACAATTGAAATCATCAAAATGAATTAACTTAGATAAGGCAGAACATATCATGAAGGATATAGAAAACATAGTTTAAAGTTGTCATGAAACACCTTCAAGATTTTCCAAAAAAGCAATGCATGTTATGCTCAAACACAATATCTCCCTTTACATGCACAAAATATCATGTTCAAGCCGTATCTAACATATATACATTGGATAAGGAGTGAACGCATTGCAATAACTTAAATTTTCAGTAACACTTTTTCTTTTTCCGTTTCCTTATAACATACTTATATAGTTTAAAGATAGAACTATACATGCATGCACCTAAAAGAGGATGAAAGGAATAGGGACATTTTCACATTTTACTAAGAGTACTAATTTTTTTGATATCATAATCAAAATTCAAATTTCTATATCTTTTTTGGCCTTTGGACTTAAATCCTATCGCCTTCTAAGCAAACCCATTCCCTTCATAATATCCATCAATGAATAACTTCTTTCAAGTGTTTCAAATTAAATCAAAATCCCTCATTATTTTTCATGCTAGAAACCACCAATGTCTTTTTTGCTGCCAACATAATCTTTCACTTCAAATACGCAATGGCTTATAGATGCACCTAAAGAACTATATTTGAAGCTGTAATGAATATATGCGCCTAAAGAAATATATCAAAATCCTCTCCTTACTCACATGGTAAAAAGAGAAAAAAATACCTAGCTAACATATCATTCCATTATATTTAACAAATACATTTCCTAAAATCAAACTATTTCTATTCAAATCTTTCTGTCTTCTGATAGAAATTTATTAAAAACTAAAATAAAATTAATCCATTGAGGATGTTAAATTAAAAGCTTACATCCTGGTAAAAAATTTTGTAAAAAATAAAAAAAAATTAAAGCAGAATCGAAAAGGTTACACACCTATCACTTGAATGGAGGAAGCAATAAACTCTGTTGGGGTAATCGATGGTAATTTTTTCTCCCTTGATTTAAAAAGTTGGGTGATAGGAAATATAAGGAGTAATAAGGTAGTGGAGGGAATACTTTGGGGTACTATTTTGAGGAATACTATATGGTTGCTATGGTGTTGGAAGAATTTATCTATATTTTATGCTTCTTTTTTTTGGCCAAAGAATGCATGGCAACAAATATGGACCAAATTAAAAGAAGTCTGGGATAATTTAAGAAGAGAGAAACTTGTTATGAAACAAGAGATCTTAATAGCCAGGAAATTACCAGATCTTTCTTTTGTAAAGCTCAATGTAGATGGAAGTGCTAGAGGGCAACTAGGCATGATGGCAGCAAGTAAGGTAATTAAAGATGACATGGGAAATTGACAATTAGGCTTCATACACAAAATTGTCATTTCCTTTGCACTCAACGCAAAACTTTGGGTACTATACTAGGGACTAAAATTGTGTTGGGAAAGAGGGTTCAGAAAGGTTTTGGTGGAATTGGATTCTTTGATAGCAATTCATAAGATCTCTAACCAAGATTCACAATTAGATCCGAACACATAGCTAATCAAGTTCATCAAGGAGCTATTACATTAGTCTTGGGATTGTGCTATATTTCACATCCATTGTAAAGCAAATCAATTTGTTGATTGGATTGCTACTCATAATGAGGATCTACCCTCGAGTTACATATTTTAGATTCTCCACCAACTAGCATCAAAACAGTTTTATTTGCAGATACTCTAGGCGTATCTTGGCCTAGATTGATATAATAAGTTTATTTAATTTGTTTTTCCACTATACAAAAAAAAAGTGGTTTATTTCTTACCTATGGTTCGGTCTGCTAGATGGATAAATACATTGCCTATTTGGTCGGGTCAGGTCAAAACACTTCCAATTTGAAATATCTTAGAGTGAAAGAAATTCAAGTTAATTTTAAATTTTAATTATTTGGATTGGAATCAACTAAGATTTGAATTATTTCAAGTTTTTTCATTTCGTATTTGAATAATGATACTCAACATGGACGATCCTTCTAATGGTTACAACAAGTAAAAATGAGATGCATTAGAGGTGATAGAGAAAAAGATTAAAACAATTCTTGAAATGTTGAGTGTGTATGTGGCACGAGATAATGAATACAAATTAAGAAAAAAAAGTAGTGACAGAGCATAGTGGAAAATAACTTGAGTAAAAGGGAAAAAGAGAGTACTTGGGAAGAGTTTGGAGAAGTTTTTTTTTAACTTTTGGGGCATTTTAAAAAATAACCTTTAAAGATAAGATGTTTTCAAAAATAACCTCTTTTATAATTTTAACTATTTATAACCTAATTGGATAAAAATACCCTTAATGAAATTACACGCTATGATGTTACACACTATACGAAAACATGTTATACGCCATGGTTAGGTTGTTACATATCATGTATAAAAACGTGTGACACGCAATAGTTAGGTTGTTACACGTCATGTACAAAAACGTGTGACACGCCATGGTTTGGTTGTTATACACTATGTTAAAAAAAATACTGTTGTTCAATGCCATGTGCTAAAATATGGTGCACGTTATGGTTCAAAAAGGTTGTTACATACCATGTTGAAAAAAAAATACTATTGTTACATGCCATGTACAAAAATATGTTACACGCCATGGTTAAAAAAATTATTACACGCCATATTCAAAAACATTTTGTTACACTTTAATACCTAAACTGTTACTGTTACTTACAAACTAAAACTTCAAATTCTCTCAACTCTCTTTATTTTTTTTATTTTTTTGACAATTTGGCACCGATTAAAGTGTTTTTAACATGTTTTTATAAATCAAAATACAAATTTTTTTATCTTAAATACCTATTTTGACTAAAATCAAAAAAAAATTTCATTGAAAACTAATGTTGATAAATTTTAAAATTTTGAGTTTATTGGTGTCTAGATTCTTTATTGATCCAATTAAAAGTTATTTCAAACATCTGTGATCATTTCTACTGTTTAGTTTTATCCAAAATACTTAAAAATTAAATTCTTCAAATAGTTATCCACTCAAGCACATCAAAACTATCATTTAGTGTTTTCAAAATGTTGAAAATAGAAATCTGAAAGCGCAAGAGAGAAATCGGGAGCATAGTAGATGGATGCCGAAAGAAAAATCGATAAAATTAGAGAGAGTGGGATGTTGAGAGTGAGAAATCAGAAGCAAAAATGAGGAAAAATTGTAATGAATGTTTTAATTTATTTGAAATAGTTTTAAGGGTATTTTTGTCAAATTATGGTTAAATATGGTTAAAAACAGTTAAATTTATTTTGATCGTTATTTTTGAAATGGCCTTATCAAAACGGTTATTCCTCATAATTTTTTTTTATATAACTAGAGGAGAGGGGATTCGAACCTTATTTTTTAAGTAAGGAATAATACATCAATCAATGAGTCAAATGCTCGAGTGTAAAAATTGAGAGGATTATTTAGAATTAATATCTCAAAGAGAGTCTGTTGAGTTTCTAATTCATATAATAAATTAGCAAGACTCTTATTTATATATCAACTAGAAATGATTGTTTAGAATTAGCTAACAAGAAATTGTTTATTAGACATCATGAGAAGAGTACATATAAGAAAAATATATTTATTAGAAGAAAAATATGTTCATAATGAGAAGAACATGTCTGAAATAACATGTTCATCATGAGAAGAATGAATCCATTACGAAAAAACATGTTCAGTATGTGACTATTGGATATAATATTTAAATTGTTGACATTTAAAATCAAATTGAATTGAATTTAAACGAACGTTTCAAAATCAAATAATTTTAAATTTAATTATTCGTACAATTCAAATTGAAATATTGAACTTTTAACAAATGTTAATTTTTCTATTAAATCAAATTACGTCGAATTCCAAAGAATTTTACCATCACATTCCTCCTTTTAACTCTTCCCAAATACTATTAACGAACTGAAGGAGAAACGGAAATTCATACTCTCAAGCAACATTAATAAGTCCAAGAAAAGAAAAAGATAAGGAAAAAAAAAAAGAAATAAGGAAAAGAGGGAGATGTGAATTGGATGAAGAGCTCTTTTTCTGGTTAATTCTAAGTGGTAAGATGGGAACCAACATTGAGAAGGCATGGAATAAACTACATACCAAGGATTGTATTACACATACAACAGATTTGAATCTCAAAACTGCAATGATCCAAGAAATCCAACATAGAATGCAGAGCATGAAGTTTTATTATTTCCAGTTTAAGAAATGCACGATTCCAAATTTTCATAGCAGTAACTGCTGCAGGCTACACATCGAAACTTGTTCAATCTTATTTCACTCACTGCACAATTTATCCTTGGTTTCTGGGAATAATATCCACACTCCACAAGGCCGCATCCCTTAAACTTCTTATCGTCCTGCATTACGATTATCAGATGTATCCTACTTGCAAATAAATAGATCCATAGTACAAAAATGCATAAGTGTTTATACCTTAAATTCTACTACTCATTTTCTCCTCTGATATTCAAACAAAGCTGACATTGAGCTCTGTCAATTTACGCTCACCAAAATCTTGGTTTTCTAGCTTGTTAATCGTCATCTGGGGATATTACAACAAACTGTAAGCTTCAAAAAACAATTTTTTATGCTCAATCATTAGCCAAATCTTCTGGTAAAAGCAACAATGTTCGAACAGAAAAAGTAGGAAAGTTATGCAGATCAGCTTCTTTCTGGTAGCTCCATCTATATACCACATCAGACTCAGGAAAGAACCATCAATAATTAGTTTTAGGAGACAAAAGAGCATTCAAAAGTAAACAATTTGCATGACGCATTCATGATTCTGAAAGCACTAAAAGGATTCTTGAAGGTTAGGAATTGTCCAAGAATTCACACTGTTACAGTATACAAGTCATTTAATTCCTAGTTAAATTAGTCTTCCATATAATCATCAAGATATTGAAACCTTACCTGCTCTAAGGACGTAACCATTTGAGAAATTAGATCTAGTTTCAGAAGTAGGCTTATCAGTATCTTCCAATGATCTGAAGAATTTAGATAAAACACTAGAATCATTGCGTGTATCCCTTTCAACCAACCATTCTTCTTGAAGATGAACATCAACATCCCTGTATCAAAAGTAGAGTGAACTATGGAAATTGAGAACCACATAGAATTCGAAAACAACAAAACCATATGGAGAATCTGAACAAGAAACCATGGTGCTCATTGGGAGGAAACAAGGTACCTCCTCAAGGCTAAAACTTCATAATTCCTCCGCAGGTAATCAGCATACTTTGTAAGGGCCTCTTGCGCATACTGTCTGCCAACAGTTCTCACTGCAGCTGCATTTAGTAAGTTTTCCAGTGAGCCATGCTTTTTTAAAAGCTTTAAGGCAGTTTTCCGACCAAAGCCAGGAACCAAATGTTGAATCCCGGGAACACCATCAACCTCATCACCCATAATGCATCCTACAAGATTACTTAATGATTAGATACGCACACGTTGCCAAAAGTGGTCTAGAACACTAGGGGAAAATTAAAACAAGAAGTGTTAAAGAGCACTTATTTACCAAAACCAAAAATTAAGCATTGGAGAGGTATTTTTAATCACACAAGGGCTGGCAGCATATTCCCTCGGAACTTTCTCTTACTGGAATCGTTAAAGAAACCCATATGAACCAAGTACCATCTTTTCAACCTTCAATTAATGGAACTTCTGTCTTTAGGGCTCGATTCTCAAAACTGGATATTTCGTAAACTTAAACAAGTCATTGAGGAAACCTTTGGAGTTTGCATTGGTTACTAATATAACAATTGCTGCTGCACAAGCAACACAACTAACACCACATAAATCAAACCCCTAAATGTAATATACTTCTAATAACCCATCCTGATAATATGTAGACAGAGACACCATCGGTACTAGATCAACCTAGCTGATTCACAGGAATGCAAGCTTTTAAGGCTCTTTATGCAGCAAGCCTAATGTCATGGCACTACCCCACACCTCCATTTACTTCTTCAAAAGAACACAACTCATATAATCTAAGTAAATACATTTAAATTACACAGTGAGTAGTTTCCAGTGATTATATTATAAGACTAATACTGCATGCCCTAAATAAGCTCGCAGAACATTTTGTTCGAACTGGGAACCAGACTAATTGTAAAATTAAAACTAAATCTAGGAGAAAGAATCAGCTTCTTTCAGCTCTTAGCCTTTCACAGTGTACCAAACTAGGCTGCTTCCTTTCAGAAGCTGTGAAAAGGAACTCTTTTAGGAATCAGAAGCTGCACTGAAAGTGTCTACTAGCAACAACTCTTGGTTGTACCTCAACACTAAATGTTCTATTAATAAGATTACCCTTATGAAGAGAAAAATGAAAAAAAAAAAGAGTTAAGAGCAAATAAGTCTCTAGAGAATATAAATAATCACATGGACATCAAGCTGTTTTGAAAAGAAGAAAAAAGGTACTTCTAATTAAGAATTGTTTTCAGTACAGAATTGTCAATAAACTATACCACTGTAAATATTTCATCAATAGATATGCAACTAAGTGCGAAATTAAGTCAACAATTTGATGATCACGGTGTTACTATCACAAAAAAGGAAAGGAGAAGGAAAAGGAAAAAGCATTGCATACTTACTAAGGCTCAAGTCAGAGTGTGGATCACAATTATATTGAGCTATGTAATGCTTCAGAGTATAAAAGGACCACCGGTCTAATTCCACCAGAGGCATCACAATTTGAACATTTTCAGAAATCAACTGCTTAAAATCCTTATCAGGAGAAGCGATAACCACATGGTATCCTCTTTGTAAAACTTGTTCCACCAGTGTGGCAACAACATCGTCAGCTTCATTTCCTTCTATTTTTACGACCTGCATGATTTAGGTTCTCAATAATAAAATCAATAAAACAAACATGGATCAACCAAAAATTTAGCATCAATAATTCATCTGCATATTGCTTTCAAAACAACTATGATAAGCCATGGTATAATTCTCTTGTAAAAAAGGTATATTTGGAATCTCCACAATATTTTGAATTAAGCTAGTTAAAAGAATCTCTTTGTCCATCTAGATTCATCCTTATTGTCCATGAGTAATGTTACTGTAAACAAGTTAATTTGTATAGCATTAATTTCTGTAGAACCCAAACAGATCGTGCTGGCAACGAAACACCAAAATCATAAGGTAGAACAGTCTTTCATAAATCAATAAAAGCATATTACTTTTCTTCTCTAAGCTTCTTAACTTTGTTTTCAGAATGAAAATTAAACTAAAGAGATTCACTTACTGGCACATTGCATTTTCTGAGAACATTCATTATGAGTTGCTCTGACCTCCCAACTTGACTCCTGACAAATTTTCTAGAAGTTGTTGGTTGTCTAAAGAATTTCCTCCTATGTGCTTTATATGAAGGTAATAACTGTCTCCGCTGCTCATTACACTTTTCACCATCAAAAACCTGCAAAACTACGTTGAGCATTTGTTGAAATAATAATGCCATAAGAAAGGTCTAAAACCACAATCAGGTTATTGCATCTACAAAAATAGGACTCTGTTTGATTGTTGGTTTTGCTACTTGCCTTTGCCATTTACAAGTTGACTCTTCAAGCGTTGTTAAAAAGTAAAAGAAAATAGTAAAATGCAAAATGCAAAATCATCATCTTCATATTTATTAAAACTGAGCAAATACGTAAATGGCAACACATATTCAAACATAATTGATCCATATAAAAGCAAAATCATGCATTTTTCTACTACCCAGATTGAAATCTAACTCTTAATTCTTCAAAAATATAAGTATTTGCTTTTCTATCCAAATGAACTTTTCGATTTTACTTGGAAACAAAAAGGAAGCAGCATGTTACCAAACGCAACCCAGGTAAATGATCATAAAACTCAGCAAGCAATATTCAAACTTATACTAACTTGTTATTTTAAATTGTCAAAAGCAGCTAGATGAAACCAAGATGACACAAGGGTACATACAGTATTCAATTTTTACCAATACTAACTAAAACAGAATGGAAAGATAAAGCTTACAGCAATAACAGGGTCGGTGAGGCTGACTTGAGAGAAGAAAAGAGAAACCCAGTGGCCAAAAGACTGAAAACTTGGCTTATTTCCTACATAACGAAGAGAATTAACATCCAAGAAAAATACCCTTTTCTTGTTTTGGCTCTTTACTCTATCCTTTTCAAAACATCCTCTTTCTGGCAAAACTTGTCCACCAACTGTTTGATGGAAAGACCCAAACACCGAGGACGAGGAAGAAGATTCAATGACGGCTCTAATCTTCCATGCATTTGTTTCAAGTGGGATAAATTTGGTTGTCTTGCTTCCGAGCTTTGTGAATGAAATTGAAAGAAGCGGGTTTGCGGGTAGACAAGGCATGAGGGAAATGCTGGCTGGCATTGTAGCTTCGACCACCTTTGGCTTAGCTCCTCGCTATAACCATTAGAAACCGGTTACAACGCCTCCATTTGGATATTTATTCTCCATATATTTTTTTTGGGTAAAATATCCTCGAGCCTTTTTAAGTTATTGTAATACTTCATGCGTATTAGTATTCAAAATGACTGTTGCGTCTCAACATAATATAATTCTTAAATTTTATAAGTTATTCTGTATAACTTTCCATCAATAAAATAAGGTGGATGCCATTTTGTACTCATTTTACTCTTACCAAAAAAAGAGAAATAGTTAAACAGTGAACAAGACGAAAGACTTAATTATTACTTAAATAGTTCAATTTAAGTCTTTTTAGTCTTCAAAATAGATATTTTGTCTTAAAATAATATAATTTGTTGCAACTTTATTAATTATTTATAAATAATTAATAAATATTTAATTCAATTAATATTAGATATTGTTTGGATATTTTTTAATTAAATAAACAAATAATATATTTATTGTATTATTATGACTATAATATTTAAAAAAACCTTCAAACTATTCAAAAAAATTCAAATAAACTCTTATACTTTTATTGCGTTCAATTAAATCTTTATATTTGTATTTTAAACTAAATAAGTTTTTATATTTTTATTTTAAATTAAATAAACTCTTATAACTACTTAAAAAAAATCCTTATAACTAATGGTTGGCTTAATCAAAAAATTAATTGTCATTTTATACCAGTTGCGTTGACGTGTAACTAACGTGACATATTAATATGTCATAATAGATAATGATGTGGCATAATGACATGGTTATATCACATTTTTCACCTTTCACATCAGCACCACATGGATATAAAATGATAATAGACGTTTTGATTAATGATAATTAGTGAACCATTAATCATAACGGTTTATTTGATCCAAAATAAAAGTATAAAGGTTTTGATTGAATGCAATAAAAGAATAAAGAGTTATTTGAATTTTTTTGAATAATTTTGGAATTTTTTTAACATTATTCATTATATTTCTAATAATAACTAATGATTAATGGACTATTGTTGTTAAAATGTTACTTGTCATTCTCTGTTATAGGTGCTAACGTGGCTAGGAGTGTGCATAGCTCGGTTCGGTCAGTTTCAATTCGATTTTTGGTAAAACTGACAAAAAAATTTCAACATTATAATCGATCGAACCATATAGAATGTAAGTCGATTTTGGTCGATTTTTAGGAGTCTCGGTTCGGTTGATTTTTAGGGTGAGTTGACTTCAATTTCGAGGGGTTAGAGAGGGAGTGTGGGAGAGGCAGAAAGCATGAAATTGGGGGGGGGGGGGGGGAGGAGGGAATTCGGTCAGGGAAATAAGGGGTAAGGGCTGCTTTAGCCTTTAGGGGGGTTAATGAAAGGCAATTTTGTCTTTCTGCCCCCTTAAGAAAAAAGAAATCACCGGTTATTCGGTTGGTTCGGGGGGTGAAGGGGTCCCCCTCGATGACCAAACCGATCAGCCGACGAGGCCGATCGAAACAACCGAAGGTTGTTATTGCAACCGTCGATTACCATAACCGACGGTTGCGATCATTTGCCCAGTAGCAACCGACCGCTCCACACTCCTAAACGTGGCATGCTAATGTGATATAATAAATTATGACATGACATAATTATATAATTATGTGATATTTTTTACCTCCACATCTGTTATACAAATATAAAATGACAAATGACACTTTAACAATTAGTCAACCATTAATTATAAAAGTCTGTTTGATTCAAAATAAAAACAGCATGGCTTGATTGAACGTAAAAAAAAAAAAACTTATTTAAAGTGACTTAATTGAACATAATAGAAAAATAATAGTTTATTTAAATTTTCTTAAATGGTATTTGTAACATTAAACAAAACAATTAAAACTCCCATGGTCAACAATGAAAAGTTTTCTGTTCATTCTCATAAGAAATTGAATGATCCTATTACCTATAGAAGCCTCATTAGGAGTTTACTTTATATTTGTGCTGCACAACTAAATATAATGTTTTCAATTAGCTTGCTATCAAGATTTATGTAACATCCATCTAATGTTCACTTTACTATTGCGAAAAGAATCCTCAGGTACTTGAATGGTACTGTTGAGTTTAGTCTTGATTTCACTCAATCAAACAATGTCAAATTTCATGGTTTTCCTAATAAGGATTAGGCAGTGAGCATTGATGATTCCAGTGACACCTCAAGGTATGTTTTCACTCTTGGAAATGATATTTTTTTCTTAGAACTCTTGAAAACAAGGTATAGCTCAATCTATTGTTGAGGTTGAACATGTGACAGCTACTTAGTAATGCTAATCAAACCAAAAAATTACTAAGAGACCTTAACTTCTCTCAGAACTCATCCATCTTTTTTGTAGACAATAAGTCTGCAATTGCGATTACAAAAAACCTAACAATCATGGAAGGACAAAGCACATAAATGTGAAATATCATGCCATCAAAGATGTAGAAAAACACGGTGATGTTTTAGTATGGCATTGCAATTCTGAGAATTAGTAGGTAGACATCATGACCAAAACATTGGCCAAGGCATAGTTTGAAGACCTCATAAACAAATTGAAAGTTTTAAATGCCAATATTAAAGAGGAGTGTTGACATTAACACTTGCATGGAATACTTACATAACAATGGCATGTGTGCAAGCTTACTGACCTAGTTGATACAAACCAAATGCTTACTCAATAGATATGGTATTACGTGTTGTTTTGCATAGCTTGATAAGATACCTAGGCTTTTCACTTGTATTATGCATTAAATAAGTGTTACATGTTTTTGATATGTATTAAGTCTCTTTGTAATTAACTGATATGGAGTAAGAATGCATTTCTCTTTAATTTTCATATCGGTTCATGCTTTGTATTAAGGGGTTCTTTATGGGAAAGGAGGTGTTGCAAACAAGTAAAAGTGTATTAAAAAAAAAAGTAAAAGTGTACTAAAGGCAATGAAGAGGAAGATTGGAGCAATTCTTTAAGTATCGAGTGTCGTGATGAGTAGAAGGGAATAAATAAAGAATTAGTGAGTAGAAGATAATTAGAAAGGGAAGCTTTGAGAGAAAATACATTGTATTACCTTTAGAAATCTCCTTTTCAAATGAATTGTGAAATCTTTATTTATAAAGTTAGAAAAAAGTTACTTAAGAATAGGTTTTAATTCACATAATAAGTAACATATATTGAAAAAAGCTGTAATATACATAATGGATAACTGTTTTTAAAACTTATTATGTGGATGCTAAAATAGTGGTTTTATTGCAAATAATGAGTAATAGTTAAAAACTCATTATATAACCATTGAAGTAATGGGTGTTTTATGGTTATTTATAATGTAATAAGACCTATTATTGAGTAGAAGGTAAGAAAACAAAAGGTATATGTGAAAATTTATACAAGAACAAGGTCAGAGAAAAGTGGTATACATGAAAACGTGCATGAGAACAACATAAGAGAAAAAAGGTACATGTGAAAATGTACAAGAGAACAAGATAAGGGAAGAAGGTCTATGTAAATAAGTATAAGAGAACAAAGTAAGGGTGAGATGGAAAAACACTTGTACTGAGGGAAAAATTAAGACGAAAACCTCTTAACCATCAAGCCTAACTTTCCAAAACATCTATGAATGTAATCCATGAATCCTACCATCTATTCCAAGTTACTTTCAGTGCTACTCATGTGACGTAGTTGTTTTGAACGAAGTAGATATTCTAATTGTATTAGTTGTTTCGCGTGAAGTAGTGTTTCACTTACTTTATTTCTTTTGTGTGAAACAATGTTTCACACGTTCTAGCTGTTTTGTATGAATCAATGCTTCACTTATTCTAGTTGTTCTCATTATTCCTTGTATAGTATTAAATTATAAAACAATGGTAAAAAAGAATAGGTAGTAACCAAAATAAACTATCTACACTTCGTTTTGTGTTTTTTTTCAATGCTTGTAGTTTTAGTGATGTAGATTGATGACAAGTAATATTAGTATTTTCTTATTTAGTTTGAAGTCTTATTAGGAATTATAGGTATAATAGAAATTTTCTATTATTTTATTTTACTTAGATGATAAGTAAGTATAGGTTTATGAATTTACTTTTCTTGTACTCTAAGGAAACCTAGGATAGAATACTTTTTTATTTTAATTTACTTTACTTGCACTCTAAGTTTAAGTCAAGTAGGATTAAGCTATTATAAATAGCACATTTAGGCTTAGTTTTTAGACAACTTTTTTGTTGGAATTATTAAATAATATTATATTTTCTTTCAAATTTTGAGTGTAAGTTTTTACATTTGAAACTTGGTTATCAATTTTAAAGCTTTTGTTAAGTACTAGCCTTTGTTTTCACATTAATTCACTACATCAGTTAGTATCAGAGTGGGGAAAACTCTCCCAATCTAATGGCAGGTGGCCTAGTGATGGTAAGCGACGGTTCTTATGGCACAGATCATGGAACTGAGACCTCATGATTTGCAATGTAAGATCAAGGGGTGGCGTTGAGAGCTTTGGAACAATGAATGGATCTTAGATTTCAATGTTTGGAATGACACTTTGAAGAAATTGTAGATCGATTTGATGCTTTATGCATAGATGTCAACAAAATTTAGAATGAAAAAGGGCCATGTACCAGAGATGAAGCAGCTCGCGAGCAGCTTGTCGACAAACCTGTTCCTACAAACGGGTATAGAAAATAGGTTTACATGGAATATTTAGACCAAGAAGATGATTATTTTGCATAACTTGTGAGATACATTGGATATGGAAGGAATAATTATGGTGATCGAGATACCAAAGATTTCATATTAAAGGTGAATATTTCTTGTTTTAATGGGAGTTTAAATATTGAAGAATTTCTAGATAGGATTGTAGAAATAGACAAATTTTTTGAATGTATGGAGATTCTAGAAGGAAAAAAAAGTGATACTTATAGCCTACAGATTGACAGGTGGAGCTTCTGCATGATGGGAAAGGTTATAGTCTAGAAGGAATTATGAAGGGAAAGCATCAGTTAGAACCTGATACAAGATGAAGCAGTTGTTACAGAAAGATTTTCTTCCTTTTGATCATGGGCAGATTTTTTTTAGAAGTACCAGAGATGCCATCAAGGTTAGAAAAATATAC